ACTGTGGTTCTGTTGTCCTGTCTTGTTGTGGCACACACAAGCAGAAACATTCGCACCGGAAGTCGACTGATAAGTTTAGTTGGCATGTCTCCGCCGCATCCTTGTCGCTTCTTCCCCCGGGTGTCTCAAGATTAACCAGCTGAAAGGTTTCATAAGTTGATTTAAATCTTAACTTCTTCACTGGGACTGCCACTGCCGTCCTCCCTTTTGAGTTGGTTCAATAAACTTTTATCGCTCAAGTTTTCAGCACAATGATGGCTGTTTGACACAGACAGGAGCTGTAAATAAGTAATTCAAAATGTAGATATATAGGGAATTTAAATTACATTTTAATTACAATTTGGGTTTATAAAATTGTTGGGAAACTTATAACTTTAGTCTGCGTAAATTCAATTAAAAGACCTTTTGATTGACTAAAAGCATGAATTTCTGGTCCAAACTTATTTTAAAAAGGGGATTTTCTTTATAAAAAATAAGAGTATAATCAAGTGAAGAAATATTTATGAGTTTTATTCAACATTAAGACAAGATAAGGTAGGCTTAACAATGTGTTTCTAAAATTAGAAATACAACAGAAAACCATACGATTAAGTGACTTTTAGAAATCCAATTTTTTTCCTCTAAATCGTATGCTATATTCTATTATTTAATTTATTTTGTGACATATTTTATGCGTAATATTTTACGCACCCTGATGTTCACCTGGACACCTGTCCCTCTGCCTAACCTAATCTGTTCCGCTGTCAAGACAAACCAACGCTGCCACTCGACGCTTAACCCTTTGAGCACATATTCAAAATCGGCGTCATTCCAAATGGTCCAATCCGATTCTTACACAATCGAACACGTCTAACGCACAACAGACAAATATTTTCATTTCGTTTTGTTCGTGAGCGTTCGCTCCGGTGACCCATAAAAAACGGACGGTGGCCAGGAACAAGGGAATCCGTAAACGGTAAATGGAAAACAAAAAAAACAAAAACCAACAACAAAAACGAAAAGCCAAAGTGGAAACGAGCCAGCACAAGAGCAGTGCACGTACAGGTCGGCATCCATCTGTTGACCAAGAAGGTAGCCATGCAAAATTGAACAGGCCCTTGGCTGTCAGTGTCAGGCACAGCAACCTGAAATGCAGTGAGAAAAATTAGGAAGATTGATAGAAAACCTACAAATTTTAAATAAATAATTTGGAATGTCTAAAAGTAGGGATCAAAATCATCAAAATTAGTTTAGGGATGTCTGAAAAATTATCTTGATTTTGAACTTTCTTAAGAATTGTGTTTAGAAGTTTGCTTACAAAGAGTAAAATGTGAAGAAAAATATTTTATTGCATATTTCTGGGCCAATTTTCTGGAGATTTTAAAATGAAGCTTTTTTAGCTCGTTTATGCATATTTCATGGTATATTTTTAATGAAGAAAGGACACTCGCTCAATAGAAAGTAACGCCCATCTAAAATTATTAATTAAATTCCTCTTTTCTCACAGTTACAAAGTGCAAAGTCATTATACAACACTTTGGTACACTGTGCTACACAAAATACGAATAGGTACGCCAACGCCAAAGGTAACGCCATCGCCAGCATCCAATTGTTCGCTCCTCGCCACTCCCCCCTGCTCCCTCTGCATATGCATGAGATGGGGCAAACACGCGATATGTAGTCCTGTCCTGTTTGGGTCCTCGGTCTCCGGTCTCCCAGGGACGGATCTTCTCCCTGCTCCCCTTGCTCCCGTTTTCCAGTTGTTTTTTTCCTCCAGGAGGCGGTGCCCATACGTGTCCTTTGGTCATCATCGAGCTGAGTTTGGCATATGTGTATGTGTAGGTGTGTTTGCTTGTGCCTATAAAAGTGAACGGAAGTTAATACGTTTACCGTTTGATGCGCTACCTGGAATGCTATGAGATATCCGTTTCCTAGGATAATTTTTAGAAAATTGTAATTTTAGTTTTAATATCTAATAACTTGTGTGGAAACTGTGTTTACTAAAATATCCTTAAATCGGTTTTGCTTTTAGGAAAACAAAGTAAAACTTGTAATATATTATAGCATACTTTTAGGTAGCATTTAAAAAGATTTTAAAACCTTTGTTATTTTTTTTGGGGCTTATATGTAAATATTTCTAAAATATGTAGCTTAGGTTTTTTTTAATATTATTTTTGGCAAGCAATTCAAATGTTTTTAAAAACAGCGCTTAAAAGTATCCTACACAATGGTTTACCTAAAGTTTTGAATTGTATAATCCTTGAAAGGTTAACCCATTGGTATTCAATTGATTTTTTGTTTGCACACCTCTCCTAATCTAATTTCACCATTTGAAAAGGACATCAAGGATTCAGTTAAGCCGAATTCACCGCCAGCTCTCTCCTGTCGCGCTGCGCAGGTGACGCCGTCTACATTGTTTTGGCCAGCTCGTATTGCTGTAGTTATCCTATCGTTGTTGCTTTTATTTCTGTTTTGTTGCTGTCCTTTAGGGGGCGGCCAGGCCCGAAATTGAATTGCGTTAATACGCTTATGGCATATACGATTATGGAGAATGGACCAAAGGATATAGCCAGCGGTTGCTGCGGCTCTGTAATAAATGGCCGAAATAAAAATGCATATGAAAATCTATGATAAAACAAGAACGATAAATCGAACTTTACGAATCCAACAATACCTTTTGCTAAGAAGATTATAGAATATCTATCAGAATTTGATTTCAATGCGCCGAATATTGATTAAATCAAATTGTATGCCACTTTAGGCTCACATAATTAATTGTATTAAATAATTCCATTGTTTTAATTCCCCCAAAGGTTCATAAGTTATTTATAATGAAAAGCCATATTTATTATGAGCTTGTGATGAGGTTTGTTCGCTTTACAAATCAATTATTTAAAGTACTATCAATGCGTGGTTTAATTATTTGATTTGCAAATTATTATGAAAGTTAGTTCCAGGTAAATATATTCAAAAATAACAATGCTTTTCTTGTTAAATTTTAGGATTTTTGTGTATCAAAAACAGAGGCACTGCAAAATCCTTAGTATATTTTCCAGGAAATCTGTGGCAGTTGTAATAAAAGCATTTATGGTTATGCCTTCGTCGTATACTTACCATACACCTGCGCGAATAAACCAAATCCTTGTACACTTCAAACACTGACGAGTACAGGGTATGCCACATAGGCATCAAATTGAGATTAAGTGCAGGGCAGGACACTTGGGACTGCCTGGTGTTTATATACACATATATATTTTGTACAGGATACGTATGTATACATAGCATAGGTGGGAGTACATAAATGCATGAACATGAAGGTAAATTTCGGAACGGGACTTCCCTGGGAATCGAGCCTCATACAACATTTATGTGTGTGCCAACATGGCTGTAATTGTTATGTTGGGCTTATGGAATTTACTGGGTACACTCGCTTTTTTGTTTATTCTGTTTATTGAGTGCCAGCGATGATTCTGCTGCTGCTTCTGCTGCTGCTGCATGTATTTTTCCGCCAGAGCAACTGACTGCTGGAAGTTATAATCCGGCAAGCATCCCCCTTTTCCAGCTTCTTTACCAAAGCCGACTTTTATACTTTCCTCAATTACTGTTCTCTTATTTTCTATTCGAGATTTTAAATTCTTACCTAGCATTTGGCCTAAGCCAAATGAATCCGACCTGCTCATTGTCGTTGTCCTTGGCAAAATTGCATTATTATGTATTAGTTCCTCGAGTTTGCCCCCCAAATTCAGTGCCAGGCAAGGGACCTGCTACATCTTCGAGTAGAGCCTGAGCTGCCAGGTCCTTTGACATTTTCTTAATACACTAAAAGCCAACGTCATAGTTCAAAGTCGGAGCGGCACTTAGGCCACGGCAGATGCAGTTGTAGCAGCCGCCAGTCCTTCGTCCTCCCACCTTCCGTTTTACTCTTCAATATACACTGGGCGAAAAAAAATGTAATTTAATAAATACCTAAAAGATGCATCAAAATATTTTCTTTTATTTTTTAGATTTTTATCGATCATTCTTTTTAAATCATAAGAGATTTTGGTAATCCTATTTTTTTCAAAGAATTTCATATATGAACTTATCAAAAAGTTGTCCAAGATAATATTTGCAGTGTAGATGCCTTCCTTCTTCTATCAACTGTGCAAGAACGTATTTTTTCTTATAATATTTCCACTTTGATTCAATTTCTTAATACCTTTAAGTTAACATCCGCTTTGGCAGGCACTTCCTTTAGAGAGGAGTGAGAGCGAGCCAGATAGACTTCCTGCAGGAGAGAAAAGAGTACTTTGGCATTATCCTTGCAATCAGCGCAACTGTAAATCACACACACACACACACTTATAGAGAACTGTAGCTCTGCAGTCGAGCGAGAACTATTAGAATAGTTGACAGAGAGGGAGAAAGACACACACTAAAAATGGCATCGGGAAATGATGCTCGCTCGGTTTGGCCGGGGCATCCTTTTGTATTATGGATGTGGCCGTAACACGCTAGCAAACACAGCACACGCAGGACACACTTTTCGCCATCACCGCCATCATCCTGTTCCCGGGGATCCGTCTCCTGGCAGGACGCAGTGTCGTCCGCTTCGTCGCCACACTGACGGATATTCCGGTGCTTGTGTCAAACGCTTGTCATTTTACCCAGTCACAGTTATACAGTTACAGTTACAGTCGCCAGGACCTCATCCTTATACACCCCCCTTGCAAACACCCACACACACACACACACACTGCTCTGTGCTGCTGTGTCCCCCTTTTATCGGCTTAAAATGCGAAAATTGCAAATAAATACGCTAAAGTTTTTCTACGTCTTCGACAAGGAGCACTTCGTCCTGCTGCCTTGGCTGCTAAATTATTTACTTGGTTTTTATTTGACGTTAAACGCTCGGGACTTCAGTTTCGATTGTCGAAGTGTGCATTGTATGCACTGAGAGAAAAGCAGGGGAGAGATTTTTGCGGAAATATAAGCTTAAGAAATATATATTTTAGATTTGTGAATACAATCTTAACGTTAATACTACCTTATCTCAAAAGTCCCTATCTCAATCCTTCTTATTCCTTCCTCCATATCACAATTCCTGCTGAGAGAGCTCTTAAAATTCCCAAGTACAAATTCTGTGACTTGTTAACAAGCAAAACTTAAAGACAAAATGTGCTGCTGAGGCTTTGTCCAAGTCTTCACGGAAAATATCCTTATGTATGTACTCTGTCTCGTCTCCATTTATGAGGATTAAATATATTAATATATATTTAATATTTCCATCCACTTACCTCCACTTCTTCCAGTGCTTGCTTATATCTGCAGATACTCGCACAGAAAGATGCGTGCGAGATACAATTTCGATCGTTAGCTCAATGGCTCGTGCCATTTGCCAACGTGCAAATCCTTCTAAATCAGGCCCGCCTTTGCCTTCGCCTCTGCGTAGTTGTAGTTGGCCATGTTCATTTCGTGTACGCGCCACGAGTGCTGTCCAAATAATAGCTGGCATCCATCCATCCATCCATCCATCCAGCCAGAGATTGCAGATGAAGGAAGTCTGGGCAGGATCCAGGACTCCATGGCGGGTCCACTTCCAATTCCGTAGCTTGTTTGACGTTGTGTTGAGTGGCAATGGAATTGATGTTTTGGGGCGGCGTCTGGGGGTTAGATGTTAGCCAGTTTGTTATCGATAAATATTCATTCAGACGGTGATTGCCGGGAAAGGTCCCCACTCCCAACAAAAGGAAGATCTCTGTCTGCCTCCCGAGCAGGAATCTCCCTTCTGTTACCCCGGGCAAACTTTAGCACTTCGAACCCCTTTTCACCTCACCCAAAAGAGTAAAAAAGAGAGTTCCAGTTTTGAGGCGCGGCATGTGTCAGCATTTGACACATTTCATTTAAATTTGTTTCTTGTTTCCCCTTTTCCAGCTTTCCCAGCTTTCCCAGCTTTGTCTGCTGCTGCCGCCTCTCCTGCCCATTGTCCATTCAAATGTGAAAAACATATCGGGTTTGCATTCAATTTTCTCTCCGCCGTTTAGTTTTTTTTTTCACTTTTTTGGGTCGATTTCCCAGCCACGTGCGAAGGGAGGAGGCTGGATGGGATGCTCCGGGGTGAAATGGGTTGGGATGAGCTGAGCCAGAGCGGAGGGAGTGCTAAGTAAACACAGCAGGAAGCTGTTGGCAAGGGGTTAAGGCGATATAATTAGTTACTTTGTGTCCTTGCGGTCGGCCAGGCTCCCAGTTACTCCCCAGTCCCATTACCACTCCCAGTCTCAGTCCCAGTCCCATGTCCACTTGTGTGTCTGGGAGGCGGATTTGCAGTAGTTTGGCGCGTGCCTTGGTCCAACGAATGCCCGGATTCCAAAACGGAATGGAGTTTCCAGGAGTGGAAGGAGCACGAGCAGGAGCCGTGTCTGTCCGACTGCCTCGGTCCGAGTATTTGTATTGGTTGAGTGTATTTGCTTATGCTCTCTACGGTCTGTAGGGTTAATTGAATTTGCTTTTGAGGTTCCTTTTTATCAGCCCAAACACCCTGTTTTGGGCAAGGTGGCGGGTTAAGTTTCTTGAATTTTTAGACCACATACTGGCACTCGTATGCCGAGGAATACAACTGATTTATAAATATTCATGAATTGAACCCCTAAATCGATTTTCCGTATGTAAAGCAGAAAATATTGATAGCAGAGGGTTCTTTTGGATTTCTGTAAAATTGTGAAAATAAAGTTTGGTTTTACATTTTTCCAAGATGAATTTATGTTTCATTAATAATTCTAGGTGATTGCTAAAAGGATCGTCAAGGATTATCAAGGGCTAACTAAAGTCGTGTTGCTAAATAGCAAACAATTAAATCTAAGAGTCTTAAATTAAGTTTATATAAAGCAGATTTTTTAATGCTACAAAAAAGTATATTTATACCTTCTAATATTATCTACAAAAAAACGTTTTTTTTTGTAACAAAAGTATTAATTAAAATTAATTGGTTGCGTTCATATCAATTGTGTTTATATTTTAATTAATTGGTTTTAATATTTACTTAATTTCTAAACCAATAAACTGTTTTTCTGTCCTATAAATAATTTTTTTACATTTTCTGGCTATTAAAAGTATATTTTCCCTCCTCTTTAAGAGTAAACTGCCTGCATATATTTAAATAATTAAAATATTACAATATTTGTAATCAATTTACTCACTCAAAAAGAGTCATCGGTACACTTTGTTAAGTCAACCAATTTCCATTAACCGACAGCAAAAAAATTAAACTATCGTAAATGCAGTTAAGCTAGAGTCGCAACAAAAACAAAACTATAGTACAACTGTGATATTATTCCACTTTTGGTTTCGACTTTTCCCGGTTCCGTGCCAAAAAAAAAAAGTTTTTAATTTGCTTTCATAGCCTTTTCAGCTTTTTGGTTAGGTTATATATATTTTTTTTCTCGGCTATATGTATACAATTTTGTGGCAAATTAAATACATACTTCTGTGGACTATACAGTTATAGTGAATAATAATAAGTCTAACCAAATAACAACATTATAAAGAGACTATTTGAATTTACTTTTATTATTTATTGAATTTACTAAGTCAAAATATCTTAAAAACACTTTTAAAATATATTTAAAACATCTCAAAACAGCTTAAACTTAATACAATATAAGTTCCCATTTTTAACATTTAATATTCCCTTTACAGAATTGAAAATAATTCTTTACCATAAATGTACTTTAAAGATTAGCATATCCTGGTATTTTCTAAATAAAAAAGCGTTGATTTTCCCTTCCTATAATCTTGTCCGCAACTGTATATGTGGCACACCTCGCTGAGAGTCTGGGCGCAGCAAAGTATGCAACGCAAATTTCGGGGTCGCGCTTTGCGTGCCACATTTAAAGCTTTATAAGCGGTCACAGCTGCTCGCCTTTAACGCGGTGTGTGTGTGTGGGTGTGTGTGTGCTGATGTGCGAGTGTGCGGGTATCAGGGTAGGTATATAGTGGCTTTCGCAGTTGCTGAGCACACGCTCTGTGCCAAAAATTGCGTCGGCTTAGCGGTTTACGGTCTTAACAGTCAATCAAGAACATGATTAGATAAGTTTATTTAAATATATATTTAAATGATAATGGAAGAATGTGAAAAGACTAACAAAAACAGCTTTATACAGTATAGAAACATAAAAAATAAAATATAATAATTTATTATATATATTAAGTTCTTTTTTTTAAATATTTAAAAGAAAAACAAGACCCAGTAAGTCAAAGATTAAGTAAATATACCATATTGGGTTCTAAAAATTATATTCATTCAGAAAAACTAATTTTATGTCAAGTATTTATCATTTCACATTGAAAAACTTCGCCCTTATGAAGCTGTCTGGGCTTCAAGTGAACTCATGTCTGGCTCTTTTGTTGGGGGAATTCATAGCCGAATCTCTAGGAAGAACCCCTTTTGTCTTTCGAGTCACAGAAAAGGCGAAAGTTTTTCCTTCAATTTAGTTAATTAGCAGGCTCACATGGTCCCTGGTCCCCGTTTCTCCACATTTCCATCACGAACTGCTTATCGTATTATCATCTGTAGCTGCAGCCGTCTCTGTGGGCCATTTAAGTTATACTTTTTTGTGAAAGTTTTCCTCACGCCCACTGCTCCACAATTTTATTTCAATTTTTAGCCTGGGCTTCTTTTTATTTTTGTCAAGACGGAGACTCCTTTCGCCTTATCAAATAGTGTAAGCAAGTTCCAGCAGCACATAAGGAAGCTGTCGTATCCTGCTGGTCCGGCAGTCCTGCAGTACTGGGTCCTTGGGCAGTGCTGGTCATATTTTAGCAGATAGGCAAAACATTAAGCGGATTAGTTTTGCTGGCAGGAAAAGCAAGAAAAGCAGGAAAAGCAGGCGAGACAGCGGTTCAGGTGGGTCAGGCCATTAGTTTGTGTGTCCTCACAAGGATACACACAGGGATACACAGGGATACAGGAATACACAGGGATACAGGGGACACAGGGCAGATGGCGGAGTTCGAGCTAGTTATAAATTGTTGGCTATTAGTTAAATGAACTTGCCGCTTACTTGCTTGAGCACGGCTTTGGTCATTTCAGTTAGCAACCACTAAGCCACTGAAAGAGGCCAACTCAAATAGATTTGCATTTAAATGTTTCCTAAGAACTTAAAGCTTATGAAAGGTGAATGATTTCTCAACAGAGCCAAGGAGATAAATTGAAATCAGCAGAAGGAGAGGACAACAAGGAAAAGGATTATGGTCGTTTTAGTAGTTTTGTTCAACAAGTGCGTCTAATGAGGAAGCTCTTCAATGGCCACAATCCGAATTTAAGAATATATTTGGCTTATGGTTTGTTTTGTTATTTCATGCAATATTTGTTATTTAGGAAAATCGAGCTTATTTTTATATATTTTTTGGAACGTTTTGCTAGCTTTCTGTACTATAGTTGTATTTATGATGGGAACTTTAAACTGAATACTACTTTTTTCTGTTTTTATATATTTTTTATGTGATTATATTATGTTTTATATCATCTATTTTTAAAATAACATTTGCCCATCAGCATTTATTGTACATACAAAAAATTCTTTTGTATACATAACACTCGTGCAATGCTTATTTTATTTGATTGTTAAATTCCTATTGAAAGCTACAGGAAATAGTGTTTTCATAAAATAAAATGTAAGACTTTTAGGTATTATTTTTAAATTTGAAAATACAAACTAAACAAAAACTGGATAATTTAAAACAGTTTCCCTGTTGTTGCTGATCGGGAATTACTATATATATTTTTTCTTCTAGAATTTAAAAATAAATTATTAAGAGAGGATAAAGTGCTTCAAACATTTCCACTTTATATATAATTTCTACACTATTCTTGGCTTGCTGAACTGAATATCATTTAATTTATTAACTTAATATTTGGACTGCTCCTCCCCTTAACTTCTGTTAGTTTTCCAATATTATCTCAACATTTTCCTCCAGCCAAAAGAAATAAAGTTTATCTGCCAGAAATTGTGTCAATGTAAATGCAAATTGATTATGAACTGGACCAGAATGTCGATTTGCATAATCCGAATCGATAATGAGTGTGGATTGTTTGGCTGATAACTGGGCGGGTGTGAGGGGTAGTGGGTATGTGTTCTGGCAGGACTTGGAATCGGTGGCAATCGAATCCAGCTATATTGACAATTTTAGCCGCATTTTCATGACAATTAGAGTTCATTCAAAATTCAGGCGACCTAATTTCCCCTGTCAAACTGCTCGCTCGATGGCTTCATTGCCTTTTTTAAGCCAACCGCAGCTGGCAGTTAACTTTTCCGCACAGATAGAAGCCATTTTGTGGGTATATGTCAAAGTTATTTTCACCCTCTTGATTTTTCCTTCTTTTCGGTTTGTTTATTTATGAAACTCAATTTCTGGTTCTCCAGGTGCAGGGCAGGGATTAAGGCCCACACACGCAGTTAAATGAGATTAATAATAATTTAATTAAAACTCGTGGGCTTAATGCATTTCGCTTGTAACGGACTTCAATGGGAGAGACTCGGCCGAAGCCAGAGTCAGAATGATGCTCTCGGCCTTTCTCTGGCTTTTATAAATATTTTTGTGCTTTTTTGTTTCTGAAATGAAATTTAATTAAGTTTTGCACTTATCGTTTTTACACATCGCACACACACACACACACACACAAGGGGGGCGAATGGGGGGAAAACCCTTTTGAACTACGGCCGAGTGCCACATTTGAATGCAAGTGCCACGCCCACCCATTGACCCACGTTAACCAACGCCCACAAATATTTTTACGCCAAGTGAGCCCACGTTTTTTTTTTCACTCTTTCAGCAATTTTTAACTCGGAATGTTTTGCTTTCGGTTTCCTTTTATTTTGAATCAATTAATTGACTTTACCTTTGTGTCCGGCAGCTGGTGCTGTTACATACATATCTCTATATATAAAATGTACATACATATAGAGCAAAAAAATATATCAATGTACAAACAAATGTATTTAAAGCAATGGGCTTGCCAATAAAAAGGTATTCTTTCTTTGTAAAGTTACATATTCATTGGATACGAAAATAAATATTTGTAGGAGCAATAAATAAATATTAATAAATATAATCTGTTTCTATAATTATGAAAACAGTAAACTTCTTATTAAAAATCATATTTTTAAACCATTATAATTATATAACGTAAAATTAAATCTATAATAAATTCTAAAAGAATATACAAAAATCGAATAATTCATTTAAAAGCCAAGACACTTACACCAAAGATATTTTTTAAATAAATTAAATCAAAAAAAACATCAACTTATTAAAAACATCAACTTATTAAAATTTAATTCGATAAATACGATTGTATTTAGAAGGAATCGTAGTTATTGAAACCTAGAGTTCTCATTTAAACAAATTTAAAGTGTTTTCAAAATTTCAAAGAATTTATTAAAAACTCTAAGTGCATTTATTCCACCCTGGAAAAACTGAATTTTCTTAGCCAAATTTTCGCCGAATTGCCGCGAACCAATTTACTTACACAGGTGAAACAAAAATGTTTTATTTGAAGCCTTGCTAGGAAAAACTTTCGTTTGCCGTTGCAATTTTCCTTTATTTTTCACTAGTGCTCTGAAGGTCATTTTTGGGGCAAAGCCAAGGGAAATGGGTAAAATCTGCTTTAACCAGCAACACTAAAAATCCCACCGCATTTGGATTTGGATTTAATTGAAAATGTTGATTTTCCCCCGCCGTCGTTGTTCTCGTTGATGTTTTTGTTATTTCTTTTATTGTGGCTCAGTTATTTATAATGAACTGAAAATATTTGTGTAATCCTTTTGTTGTTTTTGTCGCTTTTTGGCATAATATTAATTGCATAATTTAATTTAAAAGCAATTCATTACATCCACCAACTAGTTATTTGTTGTTGCCTTCGATTTCAGCGCGTTATATTTTTAATCCCTTTCATTAATTTGCATCCGAAATGACGAGGTGGAAAATGGAAAAAACTTAGTATGCAACAATCACCGCCAAGATAATAGTAAAGAGCTGCAACTAAAATTTAAATTAAATGTATTACAAAGTTGTTGTGATAAAATTTAAACAATAAATGTATATTTTTAATATTTAATAATTATTTTAATTTTAATATTTAATAAAGATGTTTTTCTAAAACCAAAAAAAAATTTACCATTTGTGATATAAGGAATTTGTTCTTGTCTGCTTTTTTTTTATTATAAATAAATACCTATAATTGTTTTGTCTTTAGAAAATAGTTTAAAAATTATTTTTGATATAAAATTTCTTCTTATATTCTCATACAAAATAAATGCTGAAAACCAAAATTTAACCATATACAAATTTTGGTTTTCAGCATTTATTTTTTATAGCATTGCTCAGAATTAAGCTTATAATAGTAGTCAAAACCTGGCATCACTGTCACTCGTACTGCTTATGCGTTCACTCAATTTTGCTCTCACTCATTCTGGCTCTCTGGTAATGCGCTCAAAAACGATCATGCGCAGTCGAGCGTGCGAGCAGGACAAACATAGAGGCGCCCCACACAAAAACATAAAGCCGCTCGTATGATGTGAAAGCAGAAGCGAAAGAGAAGAATAAAAATGCGCAGCAACAAAAATAATAGCTAAACCCGCTCTTAGGTTGAGTGGAAAAGGCCAGATTCTAACGGAAAGCAAGCGGAAAATAGCGGGCAGCGCGAATTATTAATTTTTATTTACATTTACTACATTTTCAGATTTGTTTTAATTAATAACTTTGAAACTTAGTAAATAGAATTATTTCCATTCTCATTAGTACATATGTTTGTACATATGTATCTCCTGTTAGTTATTCTTTTTGTTTGGCCAAAATTGATCAATTCCCAACGATCAAAATGCTAAATGCTTGGGGTTTAGCTTTATTATTTCTAAAGCCAGCTCTTTCTGCTCACCACTGATTCGGTCAGTGCGAGAAAGAGACGTAATGTGTGAGAGCTATAGAAACTGCCGATCTGCCGCTCTCGAGTGAAAACTCACGGCGTGAGGGAAATTGTGCTCACTTTTATTTCTTTTCTGTGCTCTCTGACTAACGCTTCTCTCTGCCCGATTCGGATTTTACACAATTTTACTTACCGAGTGCGAATTCTACCCATTGCTACAATTCACACTTTACGTTAACCGCTAAATGTGCTCAATTGTGCTCACTCTTGCTTCCTCTCTCTTTTCGTGTGCTCAACCGTGTTCACTCTTGTTCTCTCTCTTCGTAAAAACCTATAAATACGAGTGAAACGGCGCATTCGAAAAAAAAAATTCTTCAAAAAATCAGCGAAGGCGGTTGTGTCGCGGATAAATAACAGGAATCAGGAAAAATTAAGTGTACGCTCGCCAGTGAATAATATTGTAATCCGGGTTCCGGAAGCAAGATCTATCAGTTCTCGGTGTGTTGACATAAAGCTAACTAAAGCAGAGTAAAGCCGCTGAATATCCGCAAATATCCAAATCCGAATTAAAGCAATTGGCAATTGGCAGTTGGCGAATTGCATATGCAAATATAAAAAGTGTGCGAACGAAGAAAAGGAGGCGAGAAACCAGCGGAGAAGTGTGAATAAGGAACACATAAAAAAAAGAATAAAACAAAAAATCGTGTAATAACAGTACGAATTCCGAATTCCGATTCCGATCAACGGCAGAAAAACGTGAGCTTCCCTTAATTTTTTGAGTTTTCCCAACGGTGTTTTGTGTTTGATTAACAACAAATTAAGCATAATTAAAGCGTTCTCTTCTACCTACCTCTCTCACTCTTTCTCTCTGTTTCTCCTATTCTCTGTATTTTCTGTGTATTTTACCCCAACCGGCAAAAAGCCGTCGCGTGTTGCTGTCTGTCTGTGTTCGTGCTTGTGCGAGGGTGTGAGAGTGAATGTGTGTGTGTGTGTGTATTGTATACAGCTTTTTTACACTTTGTGCGAAAAGAGGAACGAAATAAGTCGAGAATCCAGAATCTCCAGAGCAGCAGCCGCCAACAACAATAACAACATCCACTCAAATTGATTTTTGTTCTCCTGTCCTCCGCTCTCCTTCCGCTGCATCCCTTCTCCTTCTCCCCCGCCTCCTTTGCTCTCCACCGTTGCTATTCTTATTCTTATTCGCCTTGTCGCGTTCTCGCTCTGTTGTTTTGCTGTTCTTTGTTGTTATTGCTGATTCCCTTTGTGCGCCTGCATTCGTGCTGTGATACCCTGTAACTGAAACTTTGAAACGGTCTGATAAGGCCTAGTGCCACCCTTATCTCACCTATGGCCAAAACCCCGAATTGGGGGTATAAACGGTTGGCGTTTTACGCGCATTTCCTTAACGAGGTCTGGATTTTGCAGTTGCCCCCTCCGCCCGAAAACCAGTCCGACATGCTCTCTATACCCTGGGCACGAAAAAAGGTTGAAAGAAGAAAAAACGCGTCTCTGTTTTACGCGCGTCTTTCTCGCTCTCGCAAACTCTCTGAGCGCAAGTCGCTCTTTACGCTCAATTGTTCAATTGCCAGACAAACTGGCTCTGAGTGCACTGGTGTTCGTGTGTGTGTGTGTGGCGTCGCAGTGTTGCAAAGCGCTGTCCAGTTGGATTTATAATTTCTAATTGGGCAAAGCCCGCGTTTTTCATTGTCTCCTTTGGCCACCGCTCTGCTTTGTTGTTTCGCATATTCTCCATTCTCCAGTCTCCGACCGGCTTATAAGAATCCATTCTTGGCAGCCCTTTTTCCTTATGCGCATTTTCGGCGCTGTGTTTAATCACTTCCGCTTCGTCAAACGAAAAAAAAGGCGTTGCCATTGCTCCTTTTCGCCATATATTCGCACCCACAACTTTATATATACATAAATATAAGTCTTATCAGAGACCCTACCAAGGCAACAAATTCATCCCGAGCAATAAAAGGAAAAATATAATAATAAGAGAAAAAGGAAACTTTTTGCAGCTTTTTTCCGCACTTCCCCATTGTTATTGTTGCTGCCTGCAGCTGGGGAAACTCAACAGTGATTACTTTTCGCTCGCTGCACTCGAAGACGGATTTGAATCCGCCGCTGTTCTACACGGAAATAAAAATCGTGGTCCATTTTCCAAATATCTAGAATAAAAAATGTTTTATTATAAGATTTGAACGTAGAATTGGTTTTTATAACAAAAAAGGTGTAGAGTTTAGTTTAATTTTAACGTTATTTTCCCAGTGCAGCTTCCCTGAAAACCCTACTCGCTCCTCCCCTTTTCCCATTTATTATTGTTGGGGAATATCATTTACTATATTTACGAATGCGGCGGTGGGAGATGCTTTGGGAGTTCAGCTCAGTTGTAATTATTCCGTTCGATTATTCATAGCCGCCAATTAGTGCTGAATTAATTGCATTACACGGAATCAGCTGAGCTATTACTCAACAGAAATCCAACTTGATCATATACATTTTCTGCGAGAATTTCATTTTCATTTCAATTAATGGAGAAATGCGAAACTTGAAAGTAAAAGTTATATCATCTAGATTAAATTAGCAAATGTATATAAAAAGTTACTAATTAAATTAGCACGAATTAAGTTGATGTCGGCAATGATCGGATGAAAAGTAACTGACACATGAAAAGGTTTTTATAACTCTTACTTTTGTTACTGAGCTAAAAGTAAATTGGGTTTGACAGTTGACACACAAATTTTTTAATCTTGTTTATTGGTAAACTTAAATTTTTAATTCCAATTTGTATATTCTATATCTAAAAAATGCATAATTAAACCAGAAAAAACGCAGTATAAATAATGGAGCCACTAATTATATATTATTATTAATTATACTATATACTATTCATTTGCTCTATTGCTCTACTTATAACACTTAATTAACCATATCTTTTTATGACTAACCAGATCGTATATTTGACTTGACTAACGATGAAGTAAATGTATACAACATTAAGGTTTGAGGTTCAGGTATTGTTCAGAATGTGCGTCAAATATAATGAATAACAGATTGATTTGTGATTATACGACTTTTGAAATCGATCAGTAAGGGACTAAGGCTATACTCAAAGACCAATCAATGGTGGTGTCAGTTGTAGGTTTAATATTGGTCCTTAAATAAATAAAGTTTTGCATCAGAATGAACTACTTTGAAGATAAAATAAGAAATAAATAAATTACTACAATAATTTTAATAAAATCCTGTAAGCAGTCAAGAATGACTTACTCCTAAAGTTATATTTCTTATAGATTTTAACAACAGAAAACAGTTTAAAAATAGATTTCTTTAGATTTGTGAAATGAAAGTATTTCCCATTTCCCCGACTTAATCTTAGCCAATTTCTCTGATTTTGATCTCGACTTTAGCTGTACGGCTTTTCGCTTTTATTCTGTTTGCTTGTTGGCTTAATTTTCCTCTTAGGCCTGTGTATTTGCACCTCCTATGCAATCTGCACTTTTTTTTTCGCACTCGTCAACGTCATCACCGCGTTTACGTTGCTTTCTTTGTTGTGTGCATTTTCCTTGCCATTTTCCATTTACTTTGCTCGGTCGCTTCGTTCGTTTCGTTGCGTTGCGTTTCGTTTCTTTTCGTTTCTTTCGTTCTGCTGCGTTGGATTTCAACCTGTCAGGCGGGCGCCAGGGGGGCGGTGGGTGGTGTATATCCACGTGTGTGTGTGTGTGAGTGCACTGCAGCAGATTGAGGCCTGTACTTTGTTGCACTTTCTTGCCTTTTGCATTTGCCTTTGGCTCTGCCTCGACTTTGCCTTTGCTTTGCCCGCCTGCATTTTCTAACTGGTTGGTCTAGGACCCATCGTCGCTAAGTCGTCGCCATCGCTGCCAGTCTGCTTCTGCTTCTGCCTCTGCTTGGGCTGTTGCAGTCTGTAGTATGTAGTCTGTAGTCTGTAGTCTCTAGCCCGTAGACTGTAGACTGTAGGCCGTTGACTGCATTGAGTGGCGTCGCCTTCCAAGCCCCTGCAACGCCCATCCACCCCCTTGTGTCCCGCCTTTTATCGTTGACCCTGCGCGCCACTTATTGCTGCATTTCTCTTTGCCGGCATCTTCTCCTGCTTTTGGTGGTGCTCATAGCTGGTGGTAATGGTATGATGATGATGGTAGAGCTGCCAGTGGTGCCACAGTAGGCATTGCATTTCTTTTGGCTTCGAAGCCCCACCAGAGCCAAGTACTCAACCCGTTTTAGTGGTGGTGGTGATGTGACAGTGGGTCCTCCATGCGAGGACAGGGTGTAGCCATAGAGGTTTTTCTAAACGAAATCGTTTTTAAAGGGTTTTACGGAAAGTTTCCAGGCTTTCTTCACTATTATCTATTTTTGGCAAAGTCTTTTTATATATTTATATTTAGAAATCTTTAGCTCTTGATATTAATATTTTTAAATTTATTTAACACTTCATATGCAGAAATGACATCTAAATCTGTTACTTTAAAGAGAATATCATTTAAAGCCTCACAATCTCATTAATCCTGGTAATAAATCATTCTTCGAGAGTTCCAAATGAATGCATATCCATTATATTGATTGTTTTTTTAACCATAAGGATTTTCCTCCCTGGATGTGTATTTGTGGCTTCTTATATCGAGCTTCTACTGTTGGTTAGAAGTGGGCATAGGCTCTTTCTGTAAGGGCTTTTGGCTGGTGGTGCTGCTGCTACCTTGCCACTTAACCGCTTTTCCGTCTTTTGTCTTTTGACACTCTCCCCAAAAGGAGGAGGAGGAGCAGGAGGACTGGGGCGTGTAGGAGCAACCACCTGACCTGCCAGCCAATTGCCGTATGCCACCAAATGTCATTTAACCCACCCGCTGTCGCAGCCACCCACTCGAGCGGCACACTCTTGTCCGTCCGTCCGTCTGTCCGCTCTCTTGGCTGGTGAAATATGCAAGGCAAATGTAATCATTATTGATTTTGTGGTCTCACTGGAACTGAGAACTGAACCGGGCTGCCTGGTGCCTGCTGGTAGGAGGAGGAAGGACAGGGGGCAGACTGGGCATTCGCACACATTAGTATGTTAGATTATCCAAGTCGTTGCTGCTGAGGCTGCTTAAATATGCAAAACGTTGACGATCCTTGGGGTTGGAGGTAGATATAGAGGCATGAATGGGGGTGCTTAAGGAGACCAAGGACCCGTCACACACACATTAGAAATTTAACAGGTTAATGTCCAAAGTCGTAAACGAGACCATTTATTTATGGCCACATTCTGACTCCGTCGGGTTCTCCTAATTTTCATAAAATATATGAGGCTACCCCGCTACTCCGCTACCCTGTTACCCAGGACTTGCACACTCGAGCGTGTGCGTGTCGTGAACATAAAAATCTGTAAAACAGACGCTTGCCTTGAGAGACCTTGAAGGGCTTTGATAATGACTGCTGCCTCTCCTCTTTAACCACCCCATGCCCAAGCACATGCCCATCTCATCCTCGTCCTCGTACTCGTCCCAAACCCATCCCCGTTCGCACCCCCTTTGTGCCAGCATAAGCTTTATGTTGTTGAGCTCCTTTTGGGGGTTGGAGAAGAGCTCGTTTCTTTTTTCGGGCCAGCTGTCAGATTTGTCAAAGGAGTGAAGGACTCGAGCGACTTGGGGCAGCTTATATGGCAGGAAGTTACTGTGGCGGCGGCGGCGGCGGCAACTCAGGAGTACAGGAAATGCATGAGGTTTCTTCGGGGAGGCAAAAGAAAAAACGTATCTGGATTT